ATTTCTGGAGATTAGATATGTCCGTTGATTTTTAAATTTTTTACTTATTTCTACTTCTTTTAAAAATGAATTTATTGGTATCAGGGATTGAACCCAGGGGTGCTCTACCACTGAGCCACACCCCCAACCCTTTTTATTTTTATTTAGAGACAGGGGCCAAGTTGCTGAGGCTGGCCTTGAACTTGTGATCCTCCTGCCTCAGCCTCCTGAGTCACTGGGATGACAGGTGTGGTGGCCACGCCTGGCTCTAAAGCCTTTCTTAGGTGTCAGCACTGACCCACGGGGGATCCTGGGGAGGAGTCCCTGGCGCCCTCCGGGTGGGGCGTAGGGGCAGGCCTCCGGGGCTGGCCCCAGGGAGCAGGTCTTCCTGGGTCTTCCCGCCGTTATGGAGCCTTTTGAGAGCTGTTCCGTTTTCTTTGGCTGCTTCTCCCTGCACCTCCGTCCCGGTGCGGTGACTGGGGCATTAACCCCGGCTGGCCACCCCCATGGGGAGCAGTGCCCAGCGCTGACCCTGCGTTTTGCCTTTCGGCCTCGGCTGCAGAGTCTGCCTCCGTGGCCGTGAGTTACTGTGACATGCGGAGGCAGTCACCAGTGCAGGGGCTCTGCTGTGTAATGGTCTCTTTAATGATTCCAGATTGCGCTGCTGTCAGGGGGAAGGTGTGTGCATTTAGAATAAGAGAAATCACCTTTGGGGGAGCCGGGAGCTGGCCCTGTTGGGGATGGAGTGCCCAGAGGAGGCATCCAGGCTGGACAGCAGCTGCTAGAGTTCCTAATGTGTCCCCTCTCCAAGAAGCCACTCAGACAGAAAGGAAGGGACGATGTGGCCATGCTGGCAGTCCCCAACTCGGGAGGCTAAGGCAGGAGCCCAGGAGTTGGGGGCCAGCCTGGRCCACTTAGCAAGACGCCATCTCAGAATAAAATTCATAAAAGCRCACCAGATGGCCATGCTGTGCACCGTGAGGTTTGCAGGGAGGAATTTTTCCTTGATGTAGCTGGGTTTAGGACACTGGGACTTAACTGAAGGGCTTTCTTTTGTTGCTATCTCGTTTTGTCTTGTTTTTGTGGGTTTTTTTTTTTTTTTTTGGCCTGGGGGGACTGGGGAACTAGGGATTGAACCCAGGGGTGCTCTACCCCTGAGCTACATTTCCAGCCTTTTTTATTTTGAGACAGGGTCTCACTAAATTGCCAAGACTGGCCTTAAACTTGCCATCCTCCTGACTCAGCCTCTCAAGTCACTGGGATCACAGGCATGGCCACTGTGCCTGGCTCATTCCATGAAATTTTAATGCATTGCTGCATTTTATTAGAAGAGGAAACCAGGCCCAGAAAGGTCGAGAAGCTTGCCCCAGGTCACCCAATTAATAAGCAAAGGAGCCAGGTGCAGTGGCACACACCTGTCATCCCATCAGCTGGGGAGGCTGAGGCAGGAGGATCCTGAGTTCAAAGCCAGCCTCAGCAAAAGCGAGGTGCTGAGCAGCTCAGTGAGACTCCAAATAAAATACAAAATAGGGCTGGGAATGTGGCTCGGTGTCAAGTGTCCCTGGGTTCAATCCCTGATACCAAAGAACAAAGAAGTGGAGTTTGAATCTGAATCCAGACAGAGATGCGTCTAGTGCAGCCCAGCCGGCCGGGGTCCCGGGCTTTGACCCCCTTGGAGCCCCTTTTCCTGCTTGAGGCCCCAGACCCTGTTGGCAGCTCCCGCCCTGGCCCTTCCAGCATCCAGAGGCTCTGCCCCGAGACCCTTCTCAGGTGGTCTGCCCGGGAAGGTCCCATTGCACGAGTGCTCTTCCTCAGTCCCCTGAGATGGACATGAACCCACTCCGTCCCGAGTTTTCAATTCTGGAAATATTTTGATGAAATTGACAGAGCTGCACTAAAGTCCGTTGGAAATCATCTAGAGCTTATATCTTACACTAATATCTATAATCMTTTTCTTACGCAATCATGTTGAGTATTACGTGCTCTACTCATGTTTGGGGGTCTCGTTTGTTTGGGTGCTGGGGGTTGAATGCAGGGTGCTCTATCACCTAGCTGCGCCCTTAGCCCTTTCAGTATGTTTATTTGGGGACAGGGTCTTGCTAAGTTGCTGAAATTGAACTTGAACTTGTGATCCTCCGGCCTCAGCCTCCCAAGTTGCTGGGACGACAGGTGTTCCACCTCTGGGACCACGGGACAAAATGTGGCAGAAGGGGTTAGATCACTGATTCTTTGCACTGGAATTCAACCCAGGGGTGTCTCACCATTGAATCACACCCTCAACCTTTTTTTTTTTTTTTTAACGGGAGCCTGGGGAGTTCCAGGGATTGAACTCAGGGGCACTCGACCACTGAGCCCCATCCCCAGCCCTGTTTTGTGTTTTATTTAGAGACAGGGTCTCACTGAGTTGCTTAGTCCCTCACTTTTGCTGAGGCTGGCTT